TTCATTTTCCTTAAGAAAGCTGCATGTATATTTGTATTTGCGTGTAAACTATAGTTATTCCACATTGTAGACTATAGTTGATGAACGTTTAAAACGTGTGGCTCTAAACGGGATTGATGATGATTACTAGTTGATAACTGCACCCTCATTAATGATGCCCAGTCTCATCATGTTTTATCCATTACAGAAGACTCATTACGTAGTAATTACTGTTGCTTCTTTTGTCCAGCTTTAGCACGTGTTAATTGGAATTGTTCATTTTTTTCTTCTTTGCACATTTTCAACTTCTTTTGTAAGTTGTAAAGACTAAAGAGTAAATACTTCTTATCCCCCACGATAGCCCTTTAGGATGGGGACGATGAAACTGCCGCGATATTAGGTACGTTTTAATTGATCAAATTGCCCCGCTCATAAAACAGAGCATCAGAAGGGTCGCCTCTCGCCTCACCATACCAGAAATGCTGAAATTGCCCCGAGCGCCCGGCTAGGTAGCCGCTACGGGTCTGGGGAAAGGGGAATTAGGCCCCGTCCTAGCTGGACGGCAAGAGCGACGCGACCGACGCGACCATTGGCCGCTGCTGTCGGCGGCAAAATGTGTGTCCACACTGAGCGGCACGACACGGCGACGTGTCATGGAATGAGGCAGCTGTTTTGGGTGCTGATCCGTCGCGTCGCCGGTGTAGCGCTACCAAATACAAACATGTTTGTATCTTGAAGCGCTTGTAGCGCGACCGACAAGAGCGGCGCCGCTGTTGCTGCTCACTTAACATGTGTTTGTATCTGTCGCTGTTGTCGGTCGCGTCGGTCGCGCCGCTCTTGCCGTCCAGCTAGGACGGGGCCTTATTGTTGTCCCTGCATTATGTCATGTCAGTGACTGCATTCTTTTAATAACTATCACCAATATCAGGAATTACTAGCTTATTTTAGGTTAGGTAAGGTTAGGATAGGATAGGCTAGGTTAGGTTAAGTTAAGTTAGGTATTGGTACAGAAGCAATTGTGACTTGGCAGGAAAAGCAGTTGACGGCAGTTTTGGAGGGTACAGGGACAAAAATAATTTCCTTTTTTCTCTAGTCCCGTAGCGACTACCTGGCCGGGCGCTGGGGGCAGGTAGTGTTCAAAAGTACACAAAATGCTGGGGCAGTTTCACTACGCCCCAATTTATGACGACAATGATATTATTGATTTATTTATTGTGACTATAAAGTAAATAAATAGGCCTAGTATTTACATCGACAAAATTGTGATATTAACTCAACTAAACGTGTTTAAATTCAAGTAGTAATCTACAATCTATATATAAAGGCAAAAGTACCCATGAACTTTTGAGAAAACTACAAGTCACACCCCCATAAACCATATACTTAAAATGTTCCTCATGACGAGAAACCTTGCGCAAAATTATCCATTTTTTCATAAATTGCCCTTTAAGGTCTTAGTTGCTTTCCAAAGGGAACTTTCCATATACTTAATGTTAAAAATACCTCAGCTGTTCTTATTTGTATGTTATTCTTTCAATTATTTATTACCTTATTAAAATCTGGTGTGATTATTTGTTTGCAATGCTGTATTCTGTTTTGTTTATTTCATCTTAACTTAACCAATCAATAGTTTTTTATAATACTTTGAAGTCAAACGGGTTGAAGCCCGTGGGTAACAGCTAGTTAAATCTAAATCTAAATGATTGTGATCATAAAGTATGAACCATGTTGAACTATTGCACATTACAACATTAGAATGTTTTTGACACAAATTTAATACTACCCTTTTGTAGTACAGTACTGGGGGAGCGAGCTGGTCTAGTGGTTAGTGCGAGACTTTACTCCTGAGGTCACGGGTTCAAATCCCGCCAAATCCAAAATTAATTTCTTTACCTAAGTGATTATGCCGAAACCCATAGTTCTAGCCTGAAGTAATTAAAAAAAAAAAAACAATCCCAGGCTCGTGCCTAGCGTCATAGGACAAAAAAATGTAGTACAATAATGTATATGAGTTGTGTTGTTGTGCGATTACTGATGTTGCTCCAGAGGGTTGAATGAACGCAACGGATGAACCGTCTGTTTGGTGTGGGTGGGAGGTGTACACAATGTCTGGAGTATTCTGCCTAGGTTTAGAGGGATTTATCCCCGACTACGGGATACTTATGTGTTTTGGGGATATTTTTTTATGCTGATACAATCAAGAGTTATTCCTTCTATACTGTTGTAGGGAATTGGTTAAGTCTTATTTTTTATGTGCACAAATTTGTCTTAATATATAATAAAAACTATTCAAAGTTAAACATTATTCAATGTTTTTTTCATAGGTAATGTTCACTTCTTAGTTCTTACCAAAGTTTATTGAATCGATTGAATACGCTTCTTTGGATATATATTTCACGTAAATCTGTGCTGTTTACCATAAAACCTGTACTGTAATAACTATTCGCTTACATCGTTATGCTATTTTTAATCGAATTGTATTTGCTTTTTATTATTAAACTGTATACTATTAAAAAGGAAGAACCAACGATAGTACATTCACCAAACAATATGATAATGCATAATAGGTTGACAAACTTAAATAGTATTAGGATATGCTAATATCTGTCTAAGGAATATGTAGGGCTTAGTCACTAACATGATTACAAGATCGTGCCATTCATCCTTCACTCATACTTGGGTTAAAATACGACCATAGTGGCGTCCCCATCTTAAAAAATTAATAATTGATTGATTGAATTAAAAAAATATTGTTTGTGTGTTTCTACTGTATTTTAAGTTTTTAAGGAAAACTGTAAGATCCCTGTTTTTTTTTTTAATCCATTGTTGATTTTTTCTTAAATAGCATCATCAATTGATAGCCCAAATGGCATCTGGGTCCAGAAAACAATTCGCTTGGAATCGAACCAGCGACCTTCAGATTGGAAGGTAAATATTTTAACGTTTCGGCTACTCTGACGATTTACTGAGTGCAAAAATTTTACTTCGATGTGATTTTTGTGCTAGGTCATAAGTATATAATACCAAGAAATTTATCATTTACCATTTTTAGGGATAAAAAGGGATTTTCGCTGATTTGTGGGATAAATTGTATTGTGGGTATCCACAGGCGCAAGTCTCACACCATCGATCTGCCCCAACTAGACGCACGTGCTTCATGTAAATAAAAATAATAACCTTACACTTGAGTTTCAATACAAGTTCAACTATTGATTTTATTTATGGGCTGTTTAAAATGGCGGAAATGTTGATTTGAAATGTTTTGAGTTGAAATGAATGGGAAACGTTCTGAGTTTGTTTTGAAAAGTACTCCCTAGGTCAAGTTGAATGGCTTTTAGAAACTGTTTACATTGCTTTGGGAATGCTTCTATTTACTACTGCCTTTTACGAATAAATAGCCTGTCTTCTTATTTGTTTAATAACCATAGACTTTTGAAAATAGATTCCTGATACACTTAGAAAATTGTGTTTGGTTAGACTAAGCTCTAGGCTTGGTTCGCTTGTTTTTTAAGGTGTTTGGGGTCTTTATTTTGGTTTTTATTCTTAATGCTAATATTCCTCGGCTAAATTAATGTTCAAGATGTCCAAACGATAGTATTTTCGTGTCAAGGTTTCAGATATCAGATGAAGTTAAATAACAAGACTCATCTTCAAAGTGTCTGTCCATAAGATTAGGTGACAAGGAATCTAAATATTTTTTTAACAATCATTAGTATCAAATATAGTTTTTCTATAACACCAACCTCTACGTACATATGATAAAATTAAAGTTACTAAACACACAGTATAAAACAATTTATAGTAATTCTTTAAATGAAACTTAAATAACCTACTTTTTATTTAGAGGGAAAAGTACAGTGGAATTACTATTGAATAAAGCTATTCTGTTGTTATCTTTAGTTGAATACGCTACCTAGGCAAATTGATTATAAATAATTTCAACCTTTATTACTTTGTTTTCATTAAATTTAATACCCTGATGTGAACCAATGTAAACCTGTTAGTCAATAATGAATCTGAAGCACTACATTTTGTAATTTATTTTTGTACGTCTAAATAAATGGTATCTTGAGTCTGGTAGGCTACATTTGATTAAGGAAGATCAAAGGATCGTTTATTTTGAAGCAGCTGCATCGGACACTTCCTAAATTGGAATGTTTGCTAAGACGATACACGTCGGTTTCTAAACAGGATGTTTTTACATACATCAAACAATTCATCCGTGCTTATATTCAATAAAACTTTCATTCGTGCACTATAAAACTGTGAGGTTGATATGCTGTGGAAATGTTTGTATACTACAACATTTGCTTTAAACATATCTCTATAAAGTTTAATCATCAACTTGTAAAGTTGACAACTAATGTTTTACTCTTATCAAATATTATTCACTTTTTCATCATTCAAATATGAAATTTGATTTCCCAAATTGTTTCCAAATCGCGTTTAGCACAATGGTAAGGGGTTTTAACTCTAAGGGTTAAAATAGTGGTGTTAAACCTCTAAAAAAGGATTTTCAAGATGAGATTGGAACAAAGTGAAAACCAGATTGCGCATTTAAAGGTTAAGTCCTTAATCTTAGATTGAAGGAGTGTCTACTCCTTTAATCTATAGTTTAAAGGAAAAGCTTTGTATGTATGAGCTTTGGTACTGATTAGGATCACTCGGTTTAAGGACCGAGCCAAAGACTAGTGGCGCTAGTGAACACCTCGGGACTTCGGTCCGTAGGGTCCCGGGTTCAAATCCCGCCTAATCACCAATGAAAATGAGAATGCCGCAACCCCTGGATGTAGCCAGAAGTAATTTGAAACCTAGGACAAAAACGGGATCTAAGTTCAGTGCACAGTTTCGAACCGCCAAAAAGCTACTCGTCTTTCCTCAGGATTGAACTGGTAATCTTATGTTTAGCAGGCGCGCACTACAACTCAGCTAAAGAGCATTTAACAAAATTACAAATGTTGATACCCCAGTGCCATACTTCAGTGCCGTCTTCTATACTAACTGCTGCGTTTTTGTTACAGCGGGCTGTTCCCTGGTGGTCGACGTCTAGATGCCCCCAGGTCCACCATGCACAGTCCTGCCCCCACTCTCCGGCCCCCAACACCCCCGGAGACGGCACGGACCGCCCCCGCCACGGTACGTATACAATCTGAACAATATTGTTAACATACCGTCTTGTAGGAGAAAATCTATCCTGCATTCTATACGAATATGGAGTATATTGGGCATAACTTGTTTGCAAGGCTGTTAACAAATGGTAAAACTAAATCTGAAAGAGGACCAAATTCATGGACAAAGTAAAATTTGGACATCCTTGATGAAAATGCGTTTAAAAAACAAATATCGGCATGAACTTTAATAAATCTACCTACAGTCCTAATATATTTATAGTAGAGTCCACCCGGAGTCCACCAGTGTATTTCTCAAGTTGAGCTGTTATATTGAGAATTGAGTTTGCCGAAATCTTTTCTGGGTTTTAGCCTGTAATCCCAACCCGTAATATGCACTCCTAACTACTTATGACGACAACGAAAAATGTTGTTTCGTTATTAATATCAAACTCATCGGCAAAGTAAAGTTGCGTTACTGAAACTATAAGATAAAAATAACAGTTAGTTGCCAGCTCAAGAATGGTTCAATCTCGTCTAATCCCCCAAAAAATATATTTCGAACTTTTCTAAACTAAGCCTGTACAAAGTATGTCTGTAAATTTACCTGTATATTTTATATTGAGGTTAGAAAAATAGTGCAGTCTTCTGTACTTTGCACTGCTGTAGTTCCGTCTGAAGTATAGGTGCAAGGTAGTGAAGCCGTTGATTTACAATCGCAGACTGTATGATATTGAATCGTTGAATTCATTATAGTCTGTAAATTGTACAATGGCCAAATGCTTCTTGTAAATTTGCTGTCTCTTCCTAGATTCTATCATAGGCCCTAGTGCATCTGAAACTAGAGATTAAATTGTATATATTGAATTTATGTTTACCTTTTGGTACTTCAAGATATAAATGTTTTTAGGTCAGGATACCTAAAAATGTATTGACAGTGTTCTGCCAATAAATGGTACTGACGGAATAAGTAATAAAGACGTAGATGGCCTTCAAACTATTTTTAATTATGGAAATACAAATGTTTGATACTCCAAACATTAAGTTTGTTTCGTATGTCATTGTTTTTTTTACTTCCATAAGTCATTAATCCCGATAATTGAGGTTTCAATTACTTAAGGATTTCAATTACAGTAACTCAAAAAATTTAAATGATCAAATATGTTTCAGGATGTCAAAAATATAATTTTACGTGTATGATTTTAAAAGAGTCCAAATATGATTCAAACACAACACCGAATGAAGACTAATATTATATTATGTATCATTTGTCGACATTAAATCTGACATAGTTGATATTCCTTCCCTACTGCATAGAGTATGGGGTAATTGTTTACCTTGAAAACTTGATTAATTATACCCTTTTAATGTGATTGTACTATATTTCCCGAAAGGACTTCGAAACATACAGAGAGATTTGGACCGCTCTATTCTTCAAGAGTGTTTACTCCCTGAATTTCCCTTGTACAAATACAACAATAAATAGGATTTGTCCCCGTGATTGGGTAGAGAAACAAAGACTCAGTTACAAATATTGCCTTTGTCAATGATTTGTTTTATTTTTTCGTCATCAATATATTTTTTTCTTTGGCGTACCGGTAACCAATTTTCTTTTGACTTCGCCATTGGCTCATTTCTCTTTGACGTAACTAATTGTCTGTTTTTCTCTCTTTTAGGCTATTATTTTTCAAAAACCAATTTTTTCTCTTTCACGTCACTTGTTGTGTTTTCTTATTGGTGTAACGAAAGTTTCGTTTTTGATATTATATTTACCATTTTGTTTTATATTTACGACACCAATGGTAATTTTTTATTTGGTATTTTTTATTTTTTAATAGTTCGTTTCTTTTTAGCGTTAGACTTTCTTTGACGACACCAATGATAGATTTTTATTCGACTTCGTTTACAAATATTTTTTTTCTCTTTAGTGATTCCAAAGAGTTCAATAGTCCTTTTATCTTTTGCGTTTTTTTTTCTAGCCACCAATGGTTGGCTACCTTTTATTTAACGTCACCTATAATCATTTTCTCGTTGGAATTACAAATGAAATATTTCCTTTGACGACACCAATGGTTAATTTTTATTTGACGTCGCTAATGTTTTTTTTCTTTTTGCGTTAGCCAATGAGATTTCCTTGATATTACTATCGTTGTATAGCCAGTCTCATTACAATGGCTTTCAGTGACTCCACCAATAGTTATTTCCTTTTTGTTATCGCAATGGTATTTTATATTCACGCTCCCAGTAAATTTTCTCAATTGTTTCCCCTTTCGACGAAATCAACAAAACTTTACAGCTTTCGGTCAAAAATATATTTTGGAAAGTTTGAGAACAAGGAATAAGAATATTGGTCCATCTTGAAACGTCTTGCTTAAACAATCTTAAAACATATCGCCCATACTTTAGGCAGTGGGGTTGTGTGCCTTGTGCCTGTAGCTTGCCTTGTTTGTATGTCTTGTGTGTGTAACGCCCGGTCTGCTTGTATGTTGACATGTCTGTACAGACGGATCATGGATGGATTTACTATATCTAACACTTAGTGCCTCCGACACCGCTGCTACTGCTAACACTCACGCCGACTTTCTAACACCGTGTTCAAAACGTTTTGTATACATGGACAAACTGTCTGTTACGTTTGTTACTGCATGCCGAATGAGTAGTCTAGCCTCACCCTGTACATACCACTTGTACCTGTACTATATTTCCGGGGCCCTTTGAATTGGTTGGCTAATCGGTATGATCAGTCTGTACGGAACGGTCGTGCAGTCGCGCCAAGGAGTTCCTTAATTGCGCCAAGGAGTTCCTTAGTTGCGCCAAGCCCAAGCCAGGTAGGAGTAAGTTGCCGACAGAAGAAACGTCCTTGTTTACATGTAATCCTAACCTAAACTAACCTAACTTATAACCTAACCTAACCTACTCAATTATACAGCCAAAGAGGGCCGCCACTTGGTGCAGTTAATGAACGTATCGGGTGGCTCTTTGGAGTAGTTGGCGCAATTCAGGAATACCCGACTACCTATATAGGTTGGCGTCATGAATGTCCACCCTACTGTCTCCTGACCATAAGTATACCTGGGACTGGCCCAGGCCTTCAACCATTGGCTGATCCCCAGATAGACGAAGGGTCAGAAGACAGGTTTCATCGTACAGAGTATAATACACGTTCATCGTGCAGTATAGTGTGCATAAGCCACGTATTTCAAAAGGCAATTTCAGAGATTTTTCTAACTTCCTCTAGGTTCTAGCCCGGAATGGTTTTTGATATTACTCCAGGCTGGGTCTACAGGAGACTGTGCCATTTTAACTTCAATCAAATTCATTGGTGATTGGTGGGATTCAAACCCGAAACCTTAGGGACCAAAGTACTGTGCTCTATTACCACACTAGCTCCAGTTCCAAAAAAGTCAGGACCCGCGAAATGTTCACAATCCACTACTATAGTGAAAATCATGAATGCATTTAAATAAGCAAACATGAATTTACCCCCTTTAAATCTGTTGACGCAGCGCGCTTCGTTGACGTAATCATTATATGATATTTCCACTAAGTTTAATAGCACGACTCCAGATCTGTACGGTGACGTGTATTTGAGTGTAGGTGTAGCGTTGGATTGGACAACTCAACTTTATTTTTTTGGAATCAGTTTTCAAAATAAATACTTTAACGGGGGTAGGTTGGTTCCGCATTTGCTACCTACACTAATCCGGGTCCCGTAGGGTGGGTTATAATCTGGTAGGTCAGTTCCGCATTTGACGGCTTCAACAATAGATCTCTTGAAATTGTAAAGATCAGTGAAGCGTACGAAAATGCCAGTCAACCGAAATAATCCATAAAAATAAGCAAGTTCTGAATGAGTTAAAGTTGAAGTAGCATGTTCCAGTTGTAACGATTTCTCTGGTTTTTTACCATAGCTGATGCAGATATTTCTTTCACCGATCCCAATCTTAAAGGGCGAAGATTATTATTGATTATTATTATATTGAAGATTATTATCCCAATCATTATTGCGAAGCCGCAATCTTAAAACTAAAAAAATCACATTACACCAGCTGCTGCTTAAATACGCTTATGTTACAAAATGCTAATAGCTCAGTTGGTAAACTAAACCTGTCACAGGAAAACTTTAAACTTTGTAACTTAGCATATTATAACAAATTAAAAATATAAATCAAAACTAGTGTACCTGTTGCTCGAAATAAAGCAGTTGTCTAGTACCGGCACTACAGAATCTATATTAAAACTAATAGTCATAATTTTCTATGAGTTTAAAAGACCCTATTAAAAGCGTATGCAACTAATGGAAATACATACGCATAGATACGCACAGATACGCGTATCTTTCACTCTCTCTTTCACTTGAGATATTCATAGTTTTAAACAGTTAATCTAAAGATATACTGTATCGCTCAATCAATGCCTTTGCTTGGAGAATTCAAGCATCTAGACCGCGTGCTATTCTGTGTGTTCATAGATTTTTTCATAACTATTATCACAACTAATCATATTGTGTACGGTAAATAGTCAAATCAGTATTATTACTAAGATCAATTTTGTTAACAGTTATGAAACAGGTGATTTTCTTACATCCTAAACCTAAAATATGTAGAGTTTGTATCATTAATATTCCGAATTTCGAATCGGATACAAGCGTATCCAATCTTTGGATATTTAACTTAAATTTGTTCAATATTCATTCTAAGTCGGCTTTTAGTGAGGCTAATTACCCTTGTCTAATGGAGTGTAACCCACCTTTGTCAATATAAATGCGGAAATAACCTACCTACTTAAGGGGCCCACCAGATTCAAATGCGGAACGAACCTACCCATTTATGGCCCTAGGGTAATTATCTGCGGAACTAACCTACCACCACTTTAACAACATTTTATTTTATTTTATTTCAGTTCTTTGCCATTTAACATAAGTATTGTTTTTATTTCGTTCCACACTAGGCAAAACCCTCAGTTTAAACAATATCAAGAGGTGTGTAACCAATAGCATTATGGTTTCCCATGTTTATTTTTAATTCT